TCGTCTATGTACAATTTTTTCGATTCAGGGGTATCGCATGACGAAGGCCATCCACTCGCGTATGTTTTCATCTCAACAAATTTATTAATGAAATCTGCAAAAAGCCCCCCTTTATTGGTGTTTGGGTTGTACTGAGATGTTTTATACATCCAGATTTCATTAATTTTGATAATTTTATACCCGAGCGACACAGCCTTCTTCAATTCACACGATAGCCATGAACCGATAAGAGCGCGATCAGTATTATTATGTACGCATTCACCATTATTCATCTCTTGACAACATTTTTTAAACAATGAAAACATGAGTTTACCATTTGCTTTCATTGGAAGAACAGGATGAAAAATGTCTGCTGGGGGTAAAACTATACATTTGATGAGTCCTTCCACATTAGAAATATCATTGTGCGGGCCGCAGATTTTTTCGATTTCTAATGCCCCCACAATGATATTAGGGTGACCTATCGGGAAAATGCCTGTTTTGCAAATAAATGGATATAAAGAACAGACATCATAATAATTGATTTTTTCTGTTGGTTGGCAGTTATAATAGGAAACTATATTTCCTGTTCTTTCGCCAAAAAATGCTTCTCGAGGATTTAATGGAATGCGCACACACACATCATCGCGCTTCACAAATGTAGACAAGTCAGGGTTACCACGCTTCAAGTCATTAAACTGATATTCCCAAATTACTTCTAGTGTGTAACCAAGCTGTTGGATTAATGAATTGAGAGCGATAGTCCGGTCATACCGTTCTTGGAGAGTATTGAAATTGTGCAGTTTCTTCTCTCGTTGTATGGTGTAACATACAGGACATCCATGCCAGTAACAACTGTGAAACTGAAATACAAACTCTGCGCCATTTGCGTCTTTATAATATCCATCGACATCATGGTTTGTTCCAGGTATTCTGAATTCACGAGATTTACCGGCATGACTAATGTCTATATTTCTTGTATGTTTCACCCACATGAGCCACTCGATCGCCGCTTTTGATAGATTCCAACACAAACGATACCCTCCACGCGGAATTATGCCGATTGTATTTTCTTGCAAGAAGATTTTCCTATAAGTACGAATAGAGAGCGAAGCCAACGTTGTGCATTCAGAAAATGGACAGATACCTGATATGGTTTTATTGAGATTTCTAAACGCGGTACACGCCTCTCGCAAGATAGTTACATCATTCCTACAATATTCAATAATTTCTTCCTTAAAATTAAATGCTTTCTGGGCCCGAAGTTCTTCTTCATACCATTCCTCAAACTCTTCACGTTCTTTCTTTTTCATTGTTTGGGTTGACCAGTTTTCTTTGGCTGGTAAATCACCGACATAATTCCAATTCTCACGAGAATTGAAAAGATGAGGAAATTTGCCTTTCAAAAGGTTAGGTATTCCAAACGTCTTGGGAAGAGCAGAGAGCGGCATGTGGAGAAAATTCAGGCTATCAATGAATTTAATTTTCTCTCCAATCTTGGGCATTATAATTTTAGTACCAGAAATGATCGGATGAACGCGGGGTGTGAAGTTATATTGCAATATGTGTTGAAAAATAAATTGGGCGTCATATCCCTGGGAATTATAGCTATGCATGTTAGATTTAAAAGGTTTTTCGATAGAGAGAGTTGTTCAACATAATTTAAGAATTGATTAATTATGTGCCCCGATTCCTCAGTGAAAATTTTCTCGGGTTTATTACAATTTTCACACTCTGATGCCTGCAAATCATAGCACTGTTCGTACACTACTTGTGAAACACAAAGATTTGGAATATGTAATTTTTCCTTCATCACACAATTATTTTTGATCAGGTGTTCATCCTGACGAGCTTCAAAATCGTAATATAAGAAAAAATTACATTTTTTGGATTTTCTAGGCTTTGTGATCAGCTGAGGCATATAACAATAGTGTCCGAACGGTTGAAGTTTTTTACAGACAGAGCAGTGTGATTTATTGCAGTCATGGGGCATATTCAAGACAATTCTTCTATTACACTGACCGCAATACCTTTCAGACTGGCAAATAGAAGCTCCGTTTCGAGGGCCTACGGTAACATGATTATTGAAACAATTGTCCCGTAGAAATGGCGCTTGCAGAGATTACAGGGCCTATAACGAGCATGAGGGTCGCACGCAGGTGATTTGTAACATTTTTTACACACATTTTCGCATCAATGATTATTTCGGCGTTTATATGCCACGCATCACTCGCGGCAAAAATATTCAGCGCCATTGAACAGTTTTTTGATATCTGCGATAGGCTGATAATGTTTTTTATGAGGAAAATAACCGATATCTAACACAACACAGTCGGATTTGCCCTCGAATGCTATGCGACCACCATACATCATTACAGGGTTTTCTGACTTTTCCACCCGCCACACTATGAGAGCAATTTTGTCATCAATGAGGATGCGTTGGTAAGCTTTAATCGTATCGATACTACACCCGTTTCTACGTAGCGGAATTCCCGAGGCTCTAACTAAAGCAGCAGCTTTCGCTGATTGCACCATTCCATTACACGAACGAATGATAGCCCATTCATCGATAGGTAAAGTGCCTGCTTTTTTCTCCGAATATGCATTTGCTACGACGATGGACCGTAGCAAACACATATTATCTTTATTTGTTATTTCGATAATGCCTCGGAACCGCCCCGCGGGTGTAGTTCGACTGGGCCCTCCGCCAATGATATTTTCAGTGAAGTGCACATTAAGGAAGAAATTACTATCCCGAGGAATTTTCGTACCACTTTGCGATAGGCGGCTGAGTAATTTAACGATATCTTCAATTTTTATTTCTGATATAGGATGCGGTGTGAGGTAACTTGGCTTGCGCGTTGGCTCCATTTCTCTATGCGTGTACCCGAATTGAGCACCACATGCATCGTTGTGATCGACACGCTCTTTAATTATTTATAAAATATCGGCCGCGAGCGAGTACATCCAAACAACATCTGATATATCTTTAGGAGGTTTCGATAGATTAAAAACAATTTCACGTTTTAATGATTTGAAACGTCTAAATTCTTTGATATTATCACTTATCTTATGTAGTCTATGTTCTGCGGGTGGTAGCAGGTCCATAGGCGTGTCAGGTTCGCCTTCCTGGGGTGCACTGCTGGTGCCGCTCGGCTGTGGATCTCTTTCATGTTGCGCCTCGCGTTGACCTACACGAACAATACAAATTATGAGATAAATCAGTGGAACTAAATACAAATCATCGAAAAATAATTGACTTACCACCAGTCTCCAATGCAGCCATGTTTAGACGCTTGTCCTCTCCCGATATTGACAGATCTATAAGTAATACAATTCCATATCACACCATGTGTCAATTCGCAAATAGACAGAATTGTAATACTTACTGGAATCAGCTACACCCGCTGGAGCACTTGAGCCTGTTGATGCTTTTTAGTTCGAGTCTCTCATTTTTCCTTCTTCACACACTTCTTGAACTAACGTAGTGATGCCTGTTACCGCTATCACGGTTAGTATCAAATTAAAATTTTTGTTGAACCGCCCCGATATATATCCCTTCTGTGTTGACATTTCTAGCCAGGCCTACGCATTGTCATAAACTTTGATCGTGCAGTAGGTATACCAACACCGGAAGCAAATATGTACTCCAGCAGGTCGCTATTAGTTCGTTTCAAATTCAAAGTTACAAGTGCACTGCAGCCATTGAATCTTTGAATTATTTGAATAACACACACTTCTCCGGCCAGTGTGTCATTCATATCGAAAATATTATTGTCATTCCAACCTGTGGCAGGGGCCTGACACCCAATTAAATGACATCTAAATAATAATGGTGGTAACTCTGGCAAGTGTTCCTCTTCTAGATAAAATACATGTTGCTTTTGCACATAAACTACTTGGCATAAGTCAAACAGATGAATTTGCAGTATGGTCATATCACACCCTGTGATGACTCCTCGTACCGCCCCATACCCCGGAAAGTTCAAAACACACATTGTTTTATATTTTACATCCCCTATTGTTTGACATTTTTTATCAATAAGATATTTTTTGCTCAAATATTTTTCCATTTTAACAAATATATCCATCCATTGCATTGGACGGACACATATGTGAAACGGGGAGCGCATTATTTCCGCTAGAAATTTCATACGCATGTCCGGTAGTACGATATCAGAACGCGGTGGTGTCATATTGAAGACTGTATATATTCTCATCTTATTGACTACTTTTATTACCCGAAAAATTGATTGGCCGCGGGAAAAAGATTTCTTGCTATTAATATTACAGAAATCACGATCATGCTCACCATGACAGCGCCACCTACGCCGCTGGAAAAGAATCCAACCATGACAAACCGATGGAACGGGAGGACGAGAAAACGACGGAACAAGACGACAGAACGACGGAAGGAGGAAACGAGAAGACGACCAACCAACCGAACAAGAAGAGAGAAAACGCGAAAACGAGCAGATGAGGAAACGACGGAACGACAGAACGACGGAACGACGGAACTGCTGGGGCGAGAAGACCAGCAACGAACAAGAAAAGTCAAAAGCCAGAAACGAGAAAACGAGAGGATCAGGGAGCGAGAAGAAAACAACCATCTATATTACTGATAAATTAAGGGAGGGTGCGGGAATTACCGAAACAATTAAGATAAAAAACATGATTTACAAAACAAAAACACAAAAAACACAAAAATATAAATCAATACACAAAAAATATATACATAAAAATATAAATACATACATAAAAAATATATACAAAAACTATACATAAAAATATACATACAAAAAAATATACACAATATATACAAAAATTTGGGGGGATCATTGCTCCTGATCTCTTCGGGGCTGTCTCCTGTCCAGCTGCCGCCGAATCCTCGCCGCCCCGGCTGCGACGACGGCGTCAAACTCAGGGCTAGGGAGTTCGCAGAAGCCGGGAATGGGTCCAGAAGGGGCCTCCCAGTCCGTCTCGTCGGAGTCGGTCCCGTGACTCTAGACGGGCGACGGTGTTCAGGGGACCCTTAGCGGGGGCGACCACCAGCTCATGGAGCTTCCCCGACGCTTAGGTGGAGTGCTCCAGGCCTCGGCCCCGCGCCTCTTCTTCGACGCTCCCGGTTGAGGAGAGGGTCCGGAGGGCCCCAGATCCGGCGACGATGCAGGTTGTGGGCTGGCCGGAAACAGCACCCTGCGAACCCTGTTGAGCGTCTCGTGAGTAGGGTCATAAGGCCTGCCCGACACCTCTGGAGACGGGGTGAGCTCTTCCGGTGAAGAGACGGTGGGAAGAGCGCCGCGGTGATGCCTCTCCGCCTTCACCTTCGTCAGTGGCCGAATTGCCACCAACCTGTGGCGGGGAGGACAAGCCCCGAGGATTGGCCCTGCCTCGGGGTTCCCTACGCTAGGGCCCCACTGCGGCACTCTCCACGCCTCTTCATCATCGGAGCTTGCGCTGTCAGTGTCAGCCTGGTTCACAAAACCTACCCCTGGTGGTGCCTGCGAGAATGCAGGCAAGCAGGTCTCCCCTGAAAAAAAAATTAAAATTAAAATTAAAATACGAAAAAAAAATACATAAGATAGGCGAAAAAAAGATGGAATATTGCTACTTACACGAGGTGCTCGCCGAGCTGTCCGACGGGTGCGTCGGGGATTCCCAGGGTGCTTCCCCCTGCTCCTCCGGAGGTGGTGATGTAGGGGACTCCAGGGGTAATTCCCCTTGCTCCTCCGGAGGTGGCAATGCAGGGGACTCCGTGGGAAATTCCCCCTGCTCATGGAGCGCTGGTGATGCTGGGGGCTGGGGGAAATGAAATATTGTACGTGTCGCTCTCTACAGGATATTCCCCCACCACTCCCAATAACTTGGCATATAATATGATACCCATTTGATTACTTTACCATTACACGGTAGACTTTTGTGGGGAAATCATCACGGACATTGTTATCAGTATCCAAGCTTTTCGTGGCAAAAATGGAAAGTTTTTTCCAAAAGAAATTGCAGTTGCTGGCATTGAGAGTTTATTTCTCTCGCATTGGGTTTGAAATGCGCCTTACCCGTACTTGGACCTTTCTACCTGCTGGCGTGATACAAACAATAGAATGACAACTAATCATCATGGGATTGAGTGGCATGATGGAGATGCTGAGTTAACAGACGCTTTACACAATATCAGAGAACTGTCGAGAAATGTTCGACATATTTTCACGGTTGGTGCTGAGGAGACTGCATATCTCCAAATTTTATGTGCCCGAGAGATTATAAATTTAGATACGAGGGGCGAATTTAAAAACAATGCGTGCCTTTCAAATGAAACAACAGCCGTGTGTTACCTTCATGTCATGAAAAACAAGATGGCTAATCGCAGACATATCTGTGCTTTACGCACAGTCTTGAATAAGCGTCAAAGTTTAACTCATAAAAAAAGGGAGAACAATCAAGCAAGTCGATATTCCAAATCCGAGACAGAGGACGAGGAGTTCAGTGAAGCTCAAGCTGTCGACACTAAGACTCCTATATGTGAAGGTATTTTCAATATTTTTTGAATTGCTTTACATACCCAATTAATAGAAACGTAATTGTGAATCTAGAGACCCAGAGTTAACTTTTAATAGCCGACGGATGACAGCTCAAACCCCGAGTCTACCTGCGTTGGGCTGGCTTTGTTTCAGGAATATTGACAACCAGTAAAAGGGCTTATTGTATTTTGCTCGCCTTTCTTGTCGAAATGGTATCCACACTACTTCGAGTGATTAAACTCAGAGATGGAAATGTAGAACGCGAAAGGAGCAGAATTGATAATGTACATGGACATTCATGTTCTGTGGGCTGCATCATTTTTATAACGATGAACATGCTCGCATTCGTTTTACTGATTTTACATATGATAAAAATGAAGGAGGTTCGTTCTTATGACTTTAATTGCACATGTACAAATGAAACTGTTAATAACACATTATTGTTTGAAAATGTAACGGAAATGTGGAATAAAACACTCTGGAAAATTCAAAATGCATACATGTGTTCATTTATTTACAATCGCATTCCTAACACCGAAAGCAATGCCCCAGCAAATGTTTTTGATACCACTTGTGTTTACTCAAGATAAATAGTCTGATACGTGTTTCGGCAGTCTGCAGATTCCTTCCTTACCGACCTCAGCCCACTACCACCCACCGCCACAAGTAAATTAAAAAAAAAAATTATATTAATTTCATTCATCCCGGGCTATCGGAGACTTTCCGATCTCTACGGTTTTTCCGATCTATCATCGGCCTATTTTCCGATTTATTATCGGAAAATAGGTCTTTTCCGACGTACATCGGCTTACTCTCCGATTAGTATCGATTATTTTCCGATTCTCATTTACCTGTATGGTTTTCGGTTAGTATCGACCGCTTTGCCGATTTTCTTTTTTTATCGGGGTGCATCCGATCCTCATCGGTCTTTTTCGATTTTTCAATTAAGAATTCACCCCTTAATCGGGTAAGGAGAGGCCGATCATGGGCGATCACAATAGTGATTCGCCAGGGTTACCGCCCAGTACTAAAAATCCTAGTACTGAGGCTCCTCTGGGATTCGCGGATTCGGAGCTGCGGCTCCAGAAGTCGATCTTACTGTCGACCAATCCGTCCAAACCGACGGCCACGAGATGGAAAATCCTGCGCTTCCCAAAAGGAGGGTTACGAGAAAAACCACCTCAACGAGCGCGAAACCAAAAATAAAGGTTACACGGTGTGGGTCTCGAGCAAGTCCTACAGTGATCGATGCCGAAGCCTCCGATGCCACTTCGGTCTCGTCGGTATCCAGTCATGGCTCTCATCGAGTCGTCGACGAGGAACTTCCAGTAGGGACAATCCCAGCTGGCAATCCGGACAGGGCGGCTGGCGCACAAGCCAACCACCCTCCACGGCTGCGACCTTTACAATCCGAGGGATACGACCCTTCGGCATCTTATCCAGACGAAAACCCTGGTCAGTTTCTCCAGCCACCTTGGTGGCCTGGCTACCATCCCCGACAACCCGGACCTTATTCGGGTGTCGAGGGTGAACATCTCTATCCGCCAACACAGGCGGGTAACTATTTACAGCATCTGAGGATTTTTCTTCGGGGGCCGTGGCCATCTCATCCTCCCGAAAACGGGAGAGATCTTCCCCAACGGTCAGGGGTAAATCCCCCTAATCTAGGGTGGAATCCTCCGAGACCCGGAGGTCAACATCCTTCGTACGAGAGGCAATTCTCCCAGGAGATGGGCGGTTCATCCCCTCGATGGCTGATTCCCGTTGAGGGAGACTTCCACTTTTCAGAAGAGGGAAGTCGTCCGAGGCGTAGGCCTCTGGATTCCGCATCTCTTCGAAACTCAATGAAGAAATGGGGCGCGCATTTCTCCGGTCTTCCGCATGAAGACGTGGAATCATTCCTCGCGAGAATTGAGCACGGGCGAGCATTACTCCCCATCCCCGATGACGTTCTCATCGGCGGCATACTATTTTTATTATCCGGGCCGGCACACTCGATTTGCCCAAGTTTGGCTTATCTTCCATATCGTCCGGCTCGATCGCCGGCACTCACACCTTTCCGTCGTCCATTAGGGGCGTTCAGGCCTGCGTTGGTAAGGACGGTCTCCTTCGACGACGAAGGCATCGCAAATTTCGAAAGGGGCTCCAACGCGGACTGTGCGGGGGAACATCTCGCGGTCGACGCTGTTCAAGGACCGCCACCTCGGCCTCCTCGATTCATGAACAACAATCCAGCCAGACTACAGGCTTGGCAGGCGGCAAATCCTTCCCGCCCGCGAGCGCGGGAAAGGCAATCTCAGAATACTATCTCTCCGCCCTTCGGTCGGCCGAGGACTCTTCCACGCCCTGACTCGGTCCCTGGCGGTAACACTAACGACAGGGGTACGCGAAATTGCTCTCCAGCACCAAGACCTAGCCTGGACAACTTGGAGTGTTGGAATTGTCGCGGAGTCGGTCATTGTCATCGGGAATTTCCTGAACCTCGCCGGTTATTCTGCTACCGTTGCAGATTATGCGGAGTGACGACAATGAATTGTCCACATTGTAATCCCGGCCGTCCGGGAAAGGACTATCGAGGCGCGTAAATCCGGCGTTCGTACCTCCGATTCGGCACGATTCACAGCCGGCTTCCCGTGGTGTTTCAAACACTACGGGCGAGGACCTTCCTCTTCCATGACCCTCCACGGAATCGTTGGAAATATCCCGTGTTTGTTCCGATCCGCAAGTTCTCTTGACACCGGAACGTATGCCTCCGAACGAGGTCATACTACACGCGGCTTCCGAACCGTCTCCATGAGCCTTTCACGTGGACATCGTTATCGGCGGATTGAGATAACGAGCCCTCGTAGATTCCGGCGCAACCAAGTCTTTCGCGGGTATGGCCGGCATCCTTCTCTTTGAGAGGGCTAAAATCCCGTTGCAAGAGGTACGCGAGAAAAGGGTCGTTCCCGCGAGTGGGAAAGTCGAGCTCGTGAAACACACCGTCGCATGTATCACCGAGCTTGAGGGGCGACATGTACCCCTAGTTGCGTACGCTATGCCGAATTATCCGAGGACTTCATCCGCGGCATGGATTTCCTTGTGTCCGCGAAGATCGTTATTGACTTTTTCGATCAGACCTGGTTTTACAGAGAGGAGCCGGCGCGGCGGTTCCGCTTTACTCCTCTCCATCAAGTTCCGCAACTTACCATGTGCTGCGGTTTACGTTCCGTCGAGAAACTCCAGGAGCAACGACTTCGGGAACTTCTCGATCGGATCAACCGTCACATCCCATCGTATCGATGTTAACGGCCATCCACCAATACGGCAGCGGCCGTACCACACAACTCCGGCAACCCGAGAGATTATCTGGAAGGAGGTCCAAGATAGGTTAGAGAATGAGGTAATGAGGAACCATCACAGAGCGAATGGTGTAATCCGATGGTCATGGTCAAACAGCCCAATGGCAAGTATCGGTTCTGCATTGACTTCCGAAAAGTCAACGCGGTTACTAAAAAGGCCGCGTATCCCATTCCTACCATGTCCGGAATCGTCGACGAACTTCGTCAGGCTAATTACATTACGACGCTTGACCTTAGCCAAGCGTATTTCCACATACCTCTGGATCCCGACTCTCGGGAAATTACGGCTTTCGTAGTCCCTGGTCGTGGCGCGTACCATTTTCTTTGTATGCCATATGGCTTAACGAATGCTCCGGCCACCTTCCAGCGTCTATTAGACCGGTGTAGCCTTCAGTACATCTCCTACCCGCGGTAGTGTTTTTACATTACCTGCGGAGTCTAGATCGTACTCCCATACGGTGGCACTGCGACTACCAGAGTGGGGAACACTTCGGACTACGTCACACGACGTTTCCCCCACTCTGCACTGGCAGCTATATAAACGCCTACGCGAGTTCTCTCGTCCATTTCGTGCTCGGTCTTGCCTTGAGCGCAGAACTACCTGGCTAGCTATCTAGTTCCTTTAGCCTTACCTCCTAGCAATCCTACGCACTCTGTACTACCTGGACTTTCTCTCCTTTCTCAGGATTGAGAAGTGGCCATCCCACGGTACAAGACCGTGCACTCACCGCTATCGGTCCTCTTCCTCCTATTCCCGGACGAAGGGACGGTTGCTCTCTGTTCGTTTCTCCGCTTTATAGGGTTGAGAAGTTAGATCACTAAATCGCTCTCTGCGCTTTGAACGCAAGTCAAAGACGTGTCTCTCTGAGACATAATTTGTAGTGTTGCTCTCTCGACTGACTCTACCCAGTCAGTACGCCACATATTGGTGACCCCGACGTGATTTTTTTTCGTCCACCAGTGCAGATTGGTCTGTTCTCTGTTGAGTTCGCTCTTTTCTTTCGTTGGCTCTCATCATCATGCCTATCACTGATGATACGGGGATAATGGCAGAAGGCCCAGTCACCTCTGCTATGACCATCCATGCCCCTCCGTTTGCCATGGATAAGCCAGCTCTCTGGTTCGCTCAGGTAGAAGCGCAATTCCGTATCAAAGGAATTGTCACTGAGCTGGACAAATTCAGCTATACGGTGTCCCTGATCGACACACGTATAGCTGCCGAGGTCGAGGACGTCATAAATTCTCCTCCTGCTACCACGCCTTCCCAAGCGCTAAAGAAACGCACTCACCCCTTATCCAATGCTGCGAAACATTTTTCAACTGCGCTGGTCCCTCCTTTTGAGGGTCCTTTCATGGTTAATCGAAAGGTCTCCCGAGTTCGATACAAACTTGTGGATTTTTCCGGGAAAGCTCAGGGCGAGTCCGCCAAACAGGACTTAAAGCCCTACCAGCCTCCAGTGCCGGCTCCGTAACTTTTCGGTTACTGCATTCCGCGATAAAATTACGGTTCATTATCGCCCCGAGGAGCGGGAGTCGCCAATAATTTCCTCCTTTCTGCGTGGTTCCACGTCCGGACAAACTCTCCGGTTTCCGCTTCTCTGTTACAGATCAATACAGACACACCAGCTCAACGAGGCGAGGACACAGCACCAGCCGTGGACCTGTCGGAGAGCCCTCCACTCTCCCCACCGCCAGGTCCGGAGATTAAGGAGGAGATTGGCCTCATCACGAGCCAACGGCGGGACGCCCGCAACGCCGAGTTGGCTTTGGAGAGCATGCTGTACCCGGGAGGGATTCCCGTGGAGCTCGACGACTTCGCCCTACCGGAGGATAGCGACGAGGACCTCGCTTTTGGCCGCTCCCAGGCCGCCACACGGGCAGCACCTCAGGCCAAAGACCAGCCACCTCGAAGACCCTTGTCGCCAGTGGTAGTCCTCCAGAGACTACCCCTACCCGGACCACCAGAGGGACCGCAGTCCCAACCGGAAGAGAGGGCTCCACTTCATCTCCAGGATTACTGCAACCCAGTAAGACCTTGGTTCGCCGAGATACGGAGTATCGAGGAACAACATCCTGGCTTTGCCGCGGCCCTGCATGCCTGCACGCTGACACTGGCTCACCATCTGTCAGCTATCAGGTTTATCATCCCTCCCATTCCCCTGGAATTGGTGAGCGGTACAATCCCATTTGGAGAGAGTGAGGAAAAACTCCCAGAGGATACCTCCATGGACCAAGGGTGGCTCCGGCAAGCCCCCGGCATCCAGCGCCCCGAGCATGGACACCGAGTTTATCGACTTCGGCCCACTCGAGGACCTCTCGTTGCCCAGCACCGTGGTCACCGTAGCGTCTCCAGCCGCAACCCCTTCTCACCAAGAGGGTGAGTTGGCCCTGACGACTCCGCCGCTCACCAACCCACGAGCCGGCGAGAGGACCCCACGACATCGGCCATCCAGAGATTCTGGAGATGGCGAGAAATCTCCGGAACCAACACACCGGGACTCCACGCGCGCCTTCGCCGCCGTGGCCCAACATCCGGGGATCCGGATCCTCGCCAGGCTCTTGATCCGGCACCAACGCGGCTGGGCTGAAGGAGCAGGAGGCCATCCAGCCACCAGAGGAGGCACTCGGCCTGAGTCGTCCCAACACGACGACCAAGAGGAAAGGAGGACAGCCCAGGAGGCCAGTGGGAGGCAAGCGCCGCAAGCCGCGACACTGGTGTTTTGACTGTCGTCGGCACGGTCAAGCCCACCAAGCCTGCCCAAACCCGACAGCCCGACAAGCTCTTGGGCGTGGAGCGAACGCCCGCTTCGGACCTCCGCTAACAAGTCAGGCAACCCGTTGGTCCAGAGAGATCATCGAGGCTCTCCAGAGTCACCTGGACCAAGCCCAGCGCAGCCAGCAGCAGAGTCCGGAACGCAGGTACCATCCCCGTTAAATCGGCGGCCACATCCCCGATAAATCGGCGGCACCATCCCCGATAAGTCGGCGGCAATATCCCCGTTGAGACGGCAGCAGCGCTGAGGAATCAGTGGCAAATCCCCGCGAGACAGAGGCACGTCCGGAGGAAAATTTCCCGGCCATCCACTCAACGCCAGACTGGCCACTCAGTTTTATTTTTGGATTATTTTTTGTTGGTGTCATGGGATTTTTCCCCATTTCCTTTTGTTTCTATTACTGGGGACATATTTTCTTTTTTTTGATACGACAGTTTTTTTTTGGACACCATCTATCTTTTGATTTTATTTTTGTTGATAGGGTGCCGACTAATCTAAGTAGTAATAATTGTGATAATTCTCACGTACCTGCAGGCACCCTCCCCACCGTACAAAGTAAGTTCTTTTTTTGACACAGAAGAATCCGTCCACAAAGAGGTTTCTCCTCAAGCACCACATATGTGCCATAAGCCCCTAGTGGGCAATCAATGTCCTTTTTTTTTATAATTAAGTTTGCCTTTCAGAGGCAGTTCCGGGTCAGATGACCCGGCAATTATACAAATACGTTTTGATAAACATTGTGCATTTATTCCGAACCTTAACTCAGGGTGTGGGTTCGTGTTTTTCCCCGACATTACGTTTGGAGGAGTCTAGGTGTGATGTAGATTTCCGGAACCTGAACGAGAGGCAGTTGGACCAAAGGAAGTTCACGAAGGCTGACCCGTATACGGACCATCAAAGGAGGGGGGTGTAACGAGCATTGAGGATGCCCGTTAGAATCCGCAATAAAATTTAGAAATAGAGAGAGAGCGAGGCAAATAAATTACGGGTTAGGTTTAGGAAAATTAGGA